ACAAACATGTCTCCGTCACTGGCAGTGTCCCTTAGGCGGAGGAGAGGTGAACACTGGCAGCAGAGAAGATGCAGGAATTTACTTCAGAGAGGTCAAGCTCAAGCCTTGAGTGGCCTTGGTGTGTGGACTTTACTCTCACATATCAAGCGTGAGATGCACAACATCTTAAAAAGGGTGCATCATGCTGTGACACAGCGCCCCCTGTGTCTATGCTGTAGTATTGCATTAGGATTTGAGTCTGGGGGGAAGGGTGCTTCCTACTGGTCTTCCATCAGCACTACTTGCTTTCTTGTTGCATTTTCTTCCCTTCCTTTCAGGATTTGAGTTCAGGCTCCCACAAGTCACATGCCTGCTTAGTCTCTGAGATGTGCTGAGATCATTCACTAAGCACAGGGATCTGCACTGCTGCCAGCTCTGTGAAGCGGAGGTCAGTCTTATCTTAACTCATTCTTCAGCGCCAGTCCACTTTTAAACTTTTTTTTTTATTATTGACTTTAAAATTTTAAAGTATTTTTTTAAGTTTCTTGATGCAAAGCAATTTTCTTGGCTCAACAGCTGGGCCCCATACTGCTGGCTAAATTCGACCTCCTTTTGTTGAGCTGTTGCCCAGGAACTGCTACCTCAGTGTGACATGGGATAGTAAATTATTTACTAGGCTTGCACTTTCAGCCTCTGAGGAGGAGCTGAGGGAAAAGCTGGCTCCTGTGGCAGCTTGAGACTCTTCCTCCTCTTATTAATAGCACTCATCTGGGATGTGTACAATCCCTCCCCAAGCCCCACAGCCAGAGCCAGTCAGGATGACGTGATCCAGATTCCAGGTCCAGCCCGGCTCGGAGTCCCAGGAGAAAAGGCCATGAAGTCACACCTGCCAGGTGGTGACAGATGCGTTCATAAGGAAGTGATGTCCAGGAGGGAAGTCTAAAGGCTGATGCTAAGTCATCACCAGGGATTGCAATAATGGACTTCCTCCCTGCTAGGATTTCTCAGTTTCTCAGTTGTGTTATGGTGATCCGGCGACTTTTAACATGGGCTAGCATGGGCTAGCTTCACTGAGCTCTTCTTCCTGGCTTGGCATCCCAAATACCAGCTCAGGCTTGAAAGAAGAAAGGCACCACATGGGTCTGACATTTTAACTCCAGATGTCAGAGCTGGGAGTCTCTGCACGGTAGCGCAGGTCAGCAGGAGATGGTAAGAACTTCCAGGGGGGTAATCATGTCATCTGCCACCCATTCTTGACTAATCACACTAGTTATCACTGGAGACACTCTCCTCCACCTAGCCAGACCCCCATCCAGCCTGTTTCAGTCCTTCAGATGTTCTTCCACACATTGACTTAATCCTCCATGTATCGTCTCATTTCTCCTGGTGTCTTTCTCATGTAAAGCGATCTTCTGATTGGGACCGAGTAACAAAACATGCTTGCATGTTTCACAGACATACTTGGACTTTAGTCAACTCTTGGTCACCTAGTTCCTTCAGTGCTGTATCTTGTAAGTGTCATGCTGTGTTATCGCTGAGGTTAGCACAGGATGGCTCTGCAGCTCAGTGCAGCAAGCTGGAGTGAGGTTATACCTCACCACTGTACAGGCACCTGCAGTGTATGTGGGTACACCTACATCCAGAGTCATAGTCCCTAAGAGCACACGGGCGTCCTGACAGGAGCCCAGAATGGAGATCCAGTACATGCAAAGGTCTTCTGTGGCTTTGCCCCACTTGACACCAGTCAGGGTCAGACAGCAGTCTCTCAGGCCACCTCGGCAGGCAGTGCCTTCTCCAACAGCAGGGAGGAAGTGGAGGTTTACTGTTCTGCTGCTCTGCAATGCCTGGGGTTCTACAACTCTTCCTAAAGTGTGACTCTTGCATGTCCTCCTAAAGGTCAGCGAGTTTTTACCCTCAGCTGTTTCTGAAGGCAAAGCCCCTGGACACTGATATCCCTGAAACCTTAAGGAATTTCAGTTACAGTTGTGTTTTGATTGACTGCACCTTTCACCTTTTAAAAACTCCACAGGACAAAGTAACACACAAAATACAATATCTGTAATCAGAAATGTTTTTTTTTTTTTTTTTATTATTTTGATATAGTCTCTAGAGCCTCCATTGTCAGGGGAGATGGATAACTGTACATTTGCAGACATTGTGAATTTTCCGACGCATCCCATGTACAGTACAGCTATTACACTGTTACAGCAAATAGTTCATTCTGCACAGACAGGTGGACTGTGGGTCTGGGGCGGTACTGTCTGGCTGTGCTGAGCACCCTGGTCTTTGCTGAAATCACACCAGACAGTGTTTATCACATATTGTCGTCTTTTCAACATCTCGAGAAAGAATATGGACTTGGGTGCTTGTGTGCCCTGCTGCAGCCTTGCTGTTGGACTGTTTACATCATGTTAAACTAGTAGAGATGTACTGTTCTGGACCACAATAAAAGCAGGTAAAAACTATTGTAAAGTAAGTAAGATTCGTAGACGAAGTATGTTGGAACCTACAGTAGCAAAGCTTAGGAATCTGCAGGAGATTGTATCCTACCGTTGGCCCTGTAGGAACCTGATGGTACCCGTCCAGGTTACCACCAAAAACTCTCCTGTAGGAGAACTTCCCAGAATAGCCCTGAAATAAGATTACTTCTGTATTTGCAAGGCTGTGTTTTTTAACATTTAAAAACTAGATTTTTTCAACATTGACTTCACCAAACAGCTGCCCTTCAAGCTGGGGTTTACTTTGTTGGCTGTGTAACGTGGGTGAATCTTCCTGCAAGCTGCGTAGCTTCTAGAATCCTTTGACATGATGCCGAAATGTGGGTGTGTATTCTGTCGAGGTGTGAACTCGTTCTCACAGCTCTGCCTCTTAGGTAGTAATACTGGCTGGCTGACAGAGGCTTTGCACAGCAGGTTGGATGTTGCTGTGCCTTAATCCAGAGCATCTCAGTGCAACCAGACAGCGTCGGAAGGGTTTATCACACTTGTTCTCTCAGTTCCTGTGCGGCAGTTCATCTTGCCAGGGAATGGGAACAATTAAAGGTGTCAGCTGCTTGGCAATGGATTTGACCTTCATTTTTACATGCATCAAGTCAATTACTCTATTTAACCAGGACGTTTGATTCAAATGTTCTGTGTGCATGTGATGCTATGTTGGCATTTTTCCATGGTATTGCATTATTGCTAGTATTTGAATGGCTTTATCTTTTTGACCTAGAGAAACAACTGACTGACTTTAAAGAAACTCGGAAAATCTCAACCCATTGCCTACTCAGCGCACCCAATGTTTTGGTAACAGCCTAAAAATAAATGGCTCTGCTGTGCGTTGCAGCAGTGCTGTATTTCAGACTGTAGGGGATTTTGTAGAAACAATATTCTCTCCAGTTTTGTTGCAGCATATGCAAATAACACAAGCAGAAACCTTTAAGACATTCAGCACATGCAGCGTGAACATTCTCAGAGTTTGTAACTGAGCTGCGGGCGTTGTCTGAATGTCTGACACAACCAAACTGAATTCTTCCAGTAACACCGTCAAAACCTTGCAAAAACTACCAGAACATAACCATGTTTCAGCATTCCTGCGGCTCTGGGACCCGGAGTGTTTTTCCCTGTTAGCTGGGCGCTGTCCTTGCCTGTCTCTGTTTGGGCATGGCCAGAGGAGTGTGAGCAAAAGTGATCTTCATTGGCACTGTGCCCATCAAGGATTTGTCTTCCCTCTGCTTTGATAACTTTGCTTTGCAGAGTCTGGGGCACTTTTTAAAAATAGATGCTTTGCCAGTTTGCCCCCAGCTTTTGTGGCCAGAGGAGCTGGCATCATATATGCAAGCTTTCTTTCACTGTGCATACTGACTAAGGATTCAGCACATATTTCACCTTAAGAGCTACACTTTGGCTCTAGTAAACATATTAAACATCATCAACAGTTACACACAGCCTAACCAGAAGGATTTAGGCACATAGTACACACACTTGAAACATTTTCTTAAGACACTGAATCATTCCACTCAGCACCGAATAAAGGAGTGTCCAACAGCTGGCCCTAACACCGAAGACAGACATTGAAATGTTTTTCTCTATCACAGATGCAGACAGAAGCTGAAAGGACTAACAAAAACAAGCATCTACACTGTTTCTATTACACAGAGAAAGGCTGTCCCAAGCCTTTATTACAACCCTTTCGAAAAACAGGTATTGATTGAAACATTTGTTGCCAGACAAGTACAGGAACACCACTAGCAAGGAAGAATTACCTGGCAATTTTATGTGGGAAAAAGAGCAGTTTGTCCTCTCTGTGCCCTGGATGTAAAATATAGCTCTCATGTCCTTTTGAGTGCCACTACAACTTATTATTTTTATAAGCACAGGGAATGCGGAGCAGTCTGTAATTTTGTATTACATAGGCAAGTCATGGCTGAAAGGTGAAAAGGAAAGATCCCAATTTCCCGTTTGCTAGTCCAAATTAAACTGCTGCTAGGTTGCTCAGCCGCGCCAGGGGCATTTCTGGTGGTTCTGCTGCTCCTTCTGGGGCCCTGGAGGAGGCATGACTGGCTCCTGTGGCAGAGCGGGCCCAGCGGGTTTGTGCTCTGGCCTGAATAATCGAAGAGGCTCGCGTTTCCCAGGACTTCGGATCATTTAACTCTCTCCTGGGGATCGCCGTCCTTCTCCTGTCGCTTTCAGGAAGTGTCTGATTTAGCCCTTAATTAAGCTGGCATTACAATGCAGTATGGCTTCAAACGCCTGGCTGTTGCAGAGTGAAGCTGCAAATGGCCTCCCTCCACATTGTTCGTTCTGCGGTGAGCCGTGCCGGGGTGTGTTCTAGCCCGTCGGATCTTGGAGTTGTGGGAAACTAAGGAACGGAGAGCTCGGCTGTGTCTCTGCGCAGTTTTGGGACTGTGTTGCAGTGTTCCCAGAGGCCAGCTCGGAAGCAGCCCAATACTGCTGTTTGCACAGCCATGCACAGAGAAAATCCAGGCCTTTTGTTTCAGTTGTTGGACCAGTAACAGAATTCAGAGCAGATACACATAGTTATAAACTTCTTTATTCTATAAGTAAATCAATAAATGATGAATACTACATACAGTGCAAAATCTTTTCAGTCAGAAGATATATCAACATTCAAGAAGTATGATATGGCTAATACTTGTTTTTTGTTGTTGTTTGTAGTTTTTTTCTTACTTTAAGAAGGCTTACAAATGAGAAGAGACCATCTGACCCTTCTAGCCCGTTTGGTGGCTGATAGTTCATCGATTCCAGGATCTCATCCAGATGGTTCTTCAAAGAAGCCAGAGTACCAGCTTCAACCACATGGCTGGGCAGCTTATTTTGGACTCCTACAGTCCCAGAATCTATCTACATGTTCCAGGAATAGTATACATTTACAAAAAGGATCTGAATCTAGACTCTGAATCAAGAATCTAGTCATCATGCTAGACCTGTCTCAGGGATGGGGATTGATGTACTATAGTACATTTTAGAAGATGTTGAGGAACTGGCAAACCTTAATCTTGTTTGACCTATTTAACCTGTTTCCAGTGTCTTAAGATTTTAGAGTGACTAACTTGATTGATTGCTTCTTAACTGGTAATGGGTGACAAGATATATATTCATAATTTAGAATCCTCCTTTACTTTTCATTTGCCTGCAGTAAAATTGCTGAAGCCCCTCTCACCCCTGGCAAGCAGTGGAGGAACTAGAGTGCGCTCTGTCCTAGAGAGTTGAAGATTTATCCAACATCCTCCCACAAAATGGTTATTTTCCTCACAGTTTTAATAAATGATATAGGGAAAAAAAAAATATGTTGCGAGTTTTCAACCATGATCACAGTGATACAAATCTGCCCAGTTTCTGGCATAAAACATGTCTGAGAATAAACACAGAGAAAAGGGATCTCAGGGCCTTTCACAGCATTCCTCCCAAATTAAAATGCCCCTGTTTTGTTAAAAATGCATCTGTATAAATGGACACAACAGAGAGATTCACTGGTCTTCCATCGCCCAGATATATCTACTGCCCATCCTGTTTTTCTGGAGAGGACAGTCCTAAATTTCCTCTTTTTCCGTGATTCATTTTTATTTACATTCTCTTCCCCCCACTTCTTTGGTACGCGGGTTCGTTTCCAATTGACGGCGATTAAAGGCACAATGAGAATGCAGAGCAGTCCGTCCCGATGGGCTGGGTTTCGGTTTTCGACTTTGTGTGACAAGGATGGTTTGAGGCGCTGGAATAGAGTTCAATTGGGGGACAGAGAGCACGCTGACACGGGACTGTTGTAGCTGGGTTTAGAAAAGCAAGCTGCCATTTTTTTCTGTTTACCACATTGAATGTACAAGAAGCAAGCAAGCATATGACTTGATTCCATTAAGAGACCTAATTTAGACATCTTATGCTTGTCGTGACAGACGAGTCCAGCTTATCGCAGACCCTTCTTACCTGGTGAGTAATATTGTTGTAAAACAGCCATGCTGAAGCCCTGCGGTTTTGTCTTTCTCAGAATTAAGATACCCCACATCATTTTGCTTTGACCATTTTCATCTCTTTTGCTGAAGGAAAGCCAATTAAATGCTGTTTGTTTTTTTATTTTTATTAAAATATTTTTTTAAAATAAATTTATCACACAGAACAGCCGCAATACTGTATGGACTGTTTGAACAAATTCCTAGAATGTTTCAACTACATAAAAAGTCATTTGATCTGGTAAAACTTGCTTAGAAGGAAATGGTTCCAATTAATTTTTTTCTTCAATTATATAATTAATGTAGCTTTTAGGATCAAGAACAAATACAGCCCAGAGTTCTTAATTAAAGCCAGGAAAATACATTAGTTTTGTGCCTCCTGTAAAAGCATATCATTAAGTTTTAGTACATTTAGTCCTGCAATCACCAGTACAACAGGAGCTGAGGACTCCTGACGAGATGTTTTCAATTCCTTCTTCACCTATACTTGGACACCAGCCTTGGATACCCATGCAAAAAACAATGTCAATAAAGTATGTTTCCCGGCTTAAATTTCAATTTTCGAAAAAAAACCCTAACTAACTTGAACTGTGAAATTCAATCCCTTTACTGTTGTGACTAAAGCCTGCAGCCAGAAAGCTGACACTAGTGTCCCGACACTGATATTGCACAGGACTATCAGATATGCCAATTCATCAGTTCAGAAAATACAAACTTTTTATTCACTCCTACCCCTTATCAGGTTCATTTTCACCTTTTCCCTTTGATGCCTTCCATTTTCACTATATTATTTACTATTGCTGAATAGTCATCACTAGGTACAACCCCTCTCGTACCTTCACCAGTGCACAAGCAGCCCAGCCTCGCTCCTCCTTAAGGTGATATGCTATGTGTTGGATGTGTCTTAACGTTTGACTTGGGGCATGTTGGTAAATCACCATATTAGCAAAACCACAACATGTTATTCATTTTCCAGAGATGTTTTCCTTACAGGACTCCAGAGGTGCCCAGCCCAGACCCTTGCTTGCACAGTACTCCAAGTGTGGTGCAGCGTGGCTTGGTTACGCTACCTGACGCGATTAAACACTGTTTCCTGTTTGGTGGTGGCCATTCCTTCAGCTTCCCCTTGTCGTTTACAGTGATTCAGGGGCCTATTCATAGCACTGTGCTCTTGCCTGTCAGCAGCAGGGAGTTTAGTTCGGCCCTTTTTTGTAGGAAGAAAGGCAGTTTGTATTAGAGTATTCATGTAAAATATTAAACGAGTACTGCAAGTCACATGCTCGTTTCTTATTTATAGATGTACAGCATTCCCATGGACGGACTCTTCCTTATTCTTTTTTTTTCTGGGACGCATTGTAATTATTGTTATAATTATTGTTTAATGGGCCCTTCTCCCTTTTGTAGCTTCTGCCAGCATTACTAGAGTTTACCAGGCCATTTCACAGTATAAGAGATAAGTGCTACAAATTAAACTGCTGGAAAGGGTTATTTCTTTGTTCCTTTAACTTCTTCTCTCTATTTCTGTCTCTAACACGAGGCTAATGGAACATACAGCCCTCACTGCAGTCAACCGCTCTTGAGAACTAGTTCAAACACTGACCAAGAAGAGCAAAACCCCAATTCCCCCATTTCCAGAAAAATCACAGTAGGACGTTCCACCCCGGGGTGGCGGACGCAGCGAAGCGCGCACAGACGTGAGATGCGCCCATCATCTCTTTACACCACAATGGGTGTGTCGGAAAACACCGAGCTGATGGACTCGGCGTCTGACCTCTTTCTCTGTCCCCTCGCTCGCTTCCTCTCCTGCTCGTCCTCCGCGTTAGGGTTCACCTTTCCGTTTTGGCCCTGCAGGTCTTTGGAAGGCTCTACGAACGCCACGTGCCTGCTCAGCCCCGCCTTGCTGCCCAGCGCGTCATGAGTGGGCGTGGCGCTGAGTGTGGAGGAGTGGATGCTGTCCTCGTTTTGGCTCTTGGCCTTCCCGTTGCGGGGACAGCACGGGCAGCGGCAGGGGGTCAGGTACAGGTAGATGAGCACCAGGACGACGCTGGCCAGGCAGCCCACCAGCGTGGTGTAGGCAGTGTTCAGTGTGTCGTTGCCAGCTTGCAGCGTGGCGTTGTGCACCTTGACGGACACGTACAGGGTCTCGTTGAGGGTCTCGCTCACAGCGTAGCAGGTATACAGCCCGGAGTGCTCGACCCTCGCCGGGCCGATCTGCAGGCTCCCGTTGGCCAGGAGCGTGACGCTCTGGTTGCTGGTGGCCGAGGTGACGATCTCGTGGTTGGGCGTCACCCAGGTCTTCACCATGTCCCTGTGGCGGCTGTCACAGCGGAGGGTCAGGGTCTGGTCCAGGTACACCTCCTCGTCCGCCTCCTTCACGGCGCTGCAGTTCATGTAGTCGCCGTTCAGCTCGAAGACGTTCACGGTGGTCTTCTGGGGCCCCGGCAGGGTGCAGGTGTAGTCGTCCTTAAAGTCCACCGCGGAGCTGAGCCTGCGGATGTGCCAGTGGGCCAGCAGGCTGTAGAGCGCGCAGTCGCAGGCGAACGGGTTGTTGTGGAAGTAGAGGCCGTTTTTGATCCAGGCCGGCAGGAGCTTGAGCTCCTGGATGGGCAGGCTCTTGATGCGGTTGTAGGAGACGTCAAACAGTCCGAGCTTGGGCAGCCGGGTCTTCTCCTTGACCAGCTCCAGGGGGAAGCGGGCCAGCTTGTTCTGGCTCAGGTACAGTTTCTGGAGGCTCCTCAGGCCGCTGAAGGCGGAGCGGTCGATCTGGGAGATCTGGTTGTTGTAGAGCAGCAGGACCTCCAGCTGGGTCAGGGGCTCGAAGAGCAGCTCGTCCAGCTGCTGCAGGCTGTTGGAGGACAGGTCCAGGTAGTGCAGCTGGGTGACGTACAGGAAGGCCTCGGAGGAGATGAAGCTCATGCCGTTGTGGCTCAGCAGGAGGTTGGACATCTTGGGCAGCTTCACCGTGGTCCACTCGGCGCGCAGCCGGGCGATGCTGTTGTAGCTCAGGTCCAGGACGGCCGTGTACTCCGGCAGGGCCTTGGGGATGCTGGTCAGGTTCATCTTGGAGCAGCTGACGATGTTGCTGGCGCAGATGCAGGTGCGGTGGCAGTTCAGCTTGGAGCCCGCCGCGCCCGCCGGCAGCAGCGCCAGGAAGGCCAGGGACAGCAGGGCACGGAGCGGGAGGAGCGGCCAGCCCATCGTGCAGCTCAGCACCCTCGCAGTGGCAGGGGCCATCGCCTGGGGCAGAGAGCCCACCGAACACCTCAGGGGCTGGCTCTGGGTTGCAGCTACAAGACAGTGGAAATGCAGTTCAGAGAACAGTGGAGGATGAGCCTGCCTTTTTTTGGAAAAACAGAGATCCTAAGGTGGCCAGGGCCAGTCTCGGAAAGCCTTGCTCTATGCGCTGCTTGTGGCTGCTGGGTCCTGACTTAAATCACGACTGGCGTCTTGATTGCAATCTGACAGTAGTGGCACAGGCTCCACCGCCAACTAGCCACCCCCTGCAACGCTGACCGATATTTACTGGCTACTGCTGCTCCCCAGATCTCTCCTGCTGTAAACGGTGTGTATTCTTTATCATTCTCTGCTGTATACGCTCCGCGCGAGGACCCGGCAATAGCGAGAAAACGCAGTCGCACGCGGGCGGAAAAGAACAACAACAGAAGCTCTTCCTCACTTACTGTCGCGCGCACGTGTTCGCACCGCCGGGAGGCGGCGAGTGTCCAGCGGGAGCCGCGGAGCACGTTCTGAGCTGGCGCGAGAGTGAGCGCTGAGTTAAGTTCCCAAGTGTTGCATTGCACCATTTTCTACATACACGCGCACACCGCCGTACACACGCTCCAGCTGCCCCTTCGCTGGCTGGAAAAGTTCACGCCGCGCCTCGCGAAGTGCGGGGGTACCTTGCCACTGCTCCTTCAAAGTCCACAGCCCTCGATTTGAAGTCTCTATTGGCGCAGGTCCGCTTCTTCTCTGCGCCACGGCGGTGCGGTAGCGGGGCTAAGTGCAGGCGCAGCTAACCCTCTTCTTAAAATGACTAAATAAAGGAAAATTCCGAATCCGTGGCAGGGTCGGTGCCGAGGGAAATAAAGAGTTCCCCAGCAGAAGCTCTTGCCAATAGAAAAGATTCAATTGCTGAAAAACTGAAGTGGGAACTGTGGCGGAAAGGAAAAGCACGTCTCTCTCTTCTCCCACCCTCGCTCGGCTGCTGTCCCTCCCGAGCGAGCCAGAAATCAATACGTCTGAACAAACCCCAAGCCCGTAACCTTCGTTTCCAGAAAGAAAGTCCGGCCGGCCTCCGTGTTGTCCTGCTGTCTCAGCCCGGCACTCAGATCCCAGGATCCACGGAAGAGCAGGACGCAGAGCCGGAGCCGCTCTCGGCGGGCGCGCGAGGGGGAACGTGCCTGCGCTTCAGCAATCGGACAAGATGTACGGAGAAGGGGCCGCCGCGGTCATCCTCACCTACAGGAGCATCGGCGCAGACGACTCGTGTTTCCAGGAACGGGGGGGGGCAGCAGCACCTTCGCCAGCACCGCAGCTTGCACGGATTGGACAGCCGCCGCGGGGAACAAGCGGAGACGAGCGGTGTGGCGTCAGGCATTAACGGAGCGACGAGAACCCAAACACAATCTTGTCACACGAGTTTTCCTTCATGCACCGCTTCCCGATTCACAATTCACAGTATGTTTCGAATCCAACCCCCCCTCCCCTCCTTCCACTCTCCCGCCCCAAGAAAACCAGGTTCTTTAACTGCACCGTCCTCACCGTGACCGTTGTGATAGGTTAAATGCCGTATTCAAGCAAGGGGGTCGTCCTCTTCATTTCTCAAGCGCACGGGGAAAACCACTGTAGAAGACACCCGGAGGGGACCTTTAGCACAGGCGGCGTGCGTGCGGAAGGACCGACCGACTGCATCTTCTGCGCCGCGTCTCTCCCATCAGCTCATCTTCATGCGGGACCGGTAGTAACGGCAACAGGCGCTGCTGCAGCGCGAGGGCTCCGCGAGCTCGCTGCGTCTGGCGGCAGCGCTCGGCTTCTCCTCGCGAGCGGCTCTGCGCCGTGCTGCTGGGGGTGAACTACGACGTTCTCAGTGTCCTTGTGCTGAGAGGGAGAGGGAGGTCTGTGCACACACACACGCGCGCAGCCATTGTCAACCCCGAGCCTACCCGAGGGATGTTATTGGTTGGCAGAAGGCAAAAGTGCTCAATTTAATTGACACAGCCTTGCCCCGTTTCTTTACAGCCAAGTCGCAACGTGCAGTGCACTGCGGAAATGCGCTTGTGGTTGTTGTTCTTGTTTTCTAGCATCGATTCCTGGCAGTTGCAGGATTTACAAATGCACAATTCACAGGGAGAGCCTAACTCCTCTCCCCCTCTAGTGAGATGTGTTTTAGTTTAGGAACACAGAGACTCCCTACCCCATTTGTGGATGTGCAGGAAATGCCGTGTTTTTTCTGGAATGAAGAAAAAGTGCCAGTATTATGTGTGCACTGCATACAAATGTTCCAGCGGCAACTCCAAATTCCATTCTTTTAGATGAAGGGTGATGGTGGAGTGTGGAAACCGAAATGTGCTGAATACACTACAAGCAATAGTCCCCATGACGCCTTGCTTAACGTGATTTAATCTGGAAAAGGACAATCAAGCCTTTTGAGTGTTTCATACAGCCCATAGGGATGGAGAGGAGCTGCTGAGGAGGTGTTATCTGTGGTGCACACACAGCTGCTCAGCTATGAGTGCAGGAGCAGTGGCAGTAGTGCGGATCGGGCTCTGCCCACAGCCTGCTGCAGGCCTGTGTGTCTTCTGAGGCCACGCCAGTGGACAGCTGCCCCTGCTCTGATACGGTGCTTGTGTGATTGTGCACATCGGCAGATCTGAACACCCAGTGCCATGATAAGGCTGCAGGGCCACACGGCTCTGCTGGACTGTCTTCTCCCACATCCTCTTCTCAGCAGGAAGAGTTGGCCTGATCCCACGCCATCATGCAGGAAAACAGCAGCTGGGTCTTTGAGCTGCTGCTCTGTTAGCCACATCCTGCTGGCGCAGTGCAAAGGGCCAGTAATACAGCTGTCCATGGGTGTGTTCAGCATGCAGCAACATCAGCCTGGAGGTTTTTAGATGAAGAGCAACAGAATGCCATGTCTCCTGGAGGCCTGCAGTGATCGTCAGTCTAGGGGCAGCAGTCATACTCTAGTGCAGCAATTCCAACTACTTCAAAACTCAGAATTTGGAACTAACAGTCCAGGCAGACTTTGCATTGCAGGCAGTCCAGACGAGACTTTTCAAAGGGCTTGCTTCACTTCCCTCTGGTTTCCTCTCCTGCAGATGAAAACAGATCGCGTGTTGCACTCTAGAAGCACAGCACAGACTTTCTAAGATTCTTACTTATTTTTTAAAACTGAAGCATCTCCGGGAGACAGGACCTTACTCCCCACTTGGATTTTGTATTGAATTGATATACAGCGGGGGGTTTTTCCCAAGCTCACCACAATGCGACACTGCAATGTTCCCGTGAGAAGGAATGCAAAAGTCACACCATGGACACATCAAGGACGCCTCACTGCCAGGCCCACACGCACCCCCTGCTAGGCCACTCGAGGCTGTGGGTGCGGACATCTGCCTGGCGCTGGCCTCTGAGGGAGTCCCACCCGCTGGCCTGTCTCCCAGTCGTCTTGACAAGCGCACGGCTCTGGTTTGGCTTTGCTGCCCCGTCTCTTCCAGCGCCGAAAGGCCGCTGTTCTGAGAGAGGGCTTCCCCACTCGGTGCTCCCTTCTGATTGCCTCCGCGTGCCACAGGCTGCGGCTCTGCGTCTCAGAGGCTGCTGACGGTCTTAATAGGTTAATTGAATCAATATCCGGCATGAGTCACACGCTGCAAAGACCAGGTGCTCTCGTTGCGTATGCTGCTGTTGCCGAGACGCGTAGCGACCTCCTCTGCCCTGGAGCTTTAACTCCCCTCCAGGGCTCTTGTGGTTCCTTGCCCCTCTCTCTGACTTCAGCTCTCCATATCCTGCGAGCTTCACATGCGCGTGTGAACGTGCGGATGTGTGTGTTTAAAAACACGCTTTGTCAAATGGTTCAACAGTCCGCAGACGCTGAGTATGCCTGATGCTGTAAAAATGCATCTATCTTCCCTGTGCATTTCCTGTCAGGATTTTGTAAATACGACAAGGGGACTGGTTTGGGCCTATTATCCTGCAAGATTTTGCCTTTTATTATTTTATTATTACAGAAATGCTTTATGCCGTATTTCTTTATGTTGTGGTAGTGCGGTACTCTGTACAAACAGCAGCACTCGCAGATCAGTGATCAGCCAATCAGGAAATCCCTCAGGAGACACCCAGGGAGCTCGTTCTACACAGATGACCTCCAGTGAGTAAGCAGAGTAATAATAGGAATAATAATAAAAATAATCTTGGGAGCTTTCAAAACCTCAAACTCGATTCATAACGCTGCTTAAGTGCTGCTTTCCAGCTACTTTGTTGTATATTTATTCCCTTTAGAAAGGTGTGAAGATCACTGCTGGGGGTGTTAAGGAGGTGCAATGCAGGTATTATGAGTTAATCGGCCTCTTATTGTGTTTGTTAACTCGGAATCGATACTCATTAAGTTTGTCTCCCCAAATTAATTTAGATTCTGAAAACCAGTCTGGTTAGTACGGTGCTGCCCAGCCACCAGCTGAGAGGTAATCCAGACGATGTTCTCCTTTCCATGACCCAAGCGGGAGATGTTGTTTATTGCCGGGACACACGGAAACAGACATACCTCAGTGCACGTCATGCTCTATAAGACTGCTGTGATCCAGGGTCACCTACAGTACGGGCATCCGAGCTGCCTCGTGCGCAATCTGATTTATGGCAGCAGCTATTTTGTCTTTGTTTTTCATTATGGCACAGAAAGACATGCGGCGAGCAGCAGAATAGTTAAACAAGGATAGATCTGCAAAGAGAGAGGGAGGAAATGAAGCTTCATAAACCTTAAGAATAAAAACTGGAGCACAAAGGTTGTAACTGGGCAGCTAATGTGACCACCTTGACTTTATAGCTGTTGGGTCCTGGGTTCGATTCTGGCTTGGAGAGCCTTTTGTGTAGAGTTTGCAGGTTTCTCCTCCAACAGTCCACAGACCAGCTGTCTAGGTTCACGGACATGTCAAAATGTGTCTCACGTGTACATGCTTGTTCTCACAGAGGAACTGGTGTCTGTGTATCCCGTGTATCATGTCTTGCACCCATTGTCTGACTGGTAAGCTTCTGCTCACATCAACTCTGTATTGGTTATTGAAAATAAAAAATAATCTTGCCCATACATTTGTCTTTGAAGGACATAGTGCTTTAGTTGTAAAAGGGCTGGAGGGAGCTGAGGGCTAACTAAAGCTGACTGAAATCTCTGGAAACTTTGGAAAGAGGGTTTCAGACTGGGTCACAGCTGTATGTCTGCAGGGCCTGAGGAGGTGCACTGGGGGAAATGGGAAGATGTATTTTAAGGAGGCCCTCGTCTAACACACCCAAGGTGAAAGAAAGAACAACTGATTTGCTCAGGGAAGCTGGAAGGGAGACAGGGTAGCTCTGAATGTTAACAATGCTGTTCTCCAGTCATGTAACCAAGGTGAACAAGGAGACCCCTTTCCAAAAATAAGCAGCTCCTGTGCTGGGAGGAAAGTGAATAATACATGAGATGTCACAGTTGAGAGATGTTGAATATTCTGTGATTGCTTAACCTCAGGGCCCCAGAGCTTGTGTACAGTATTGTAAATTGCTGGTATGATTGCCACAGTGAGAGCCATTAGGGTATTTTCTGGATTTTGATTTTAAAGAAATCAAAATTAATCATTCTTGTCAGGACGTGGCAGGAGATGCTTTATGTTAGGTAGGAGAAGAGAGACCATCGAAGAATTTGGAGAATTCATTACCAAGGAAAACAGCCAATTGATATTCCGGACTGACCCTCTGTGCTAACTTTGTTATATAACTCGGGACACATGACAAGCTGGAATTTGTGGGAGACTGTGTAGAACAGGGAAGGGGTGATTGATTGCAGCTTTTGTTGTCATAGCAGCCAAGATTGACGACTGGGGTCCTGTTTTGTGCCGTAGGAGATGAAATACAGCATCAGGGATTAAGAGCAGGAGACAGCTGGGGTGGAGTGGAGCTGAGCCAGGGAGGAGGGAGGGCAGCTCAATAGGTTTCTATGATGCCAAAATGCCTCAGAATGAGGTTTACAAACTGCAAGCATGCTGGCACGTATGTGCACAGCAACATCCACAGGCTGAAAATTACAAGGAACCTTCTGACACTCTTCCTGTACACGATAAAGAAGTTGAATGCCAGTGACTCAGTGGCTAGCAGTTTTCTGAGGGTTCAGGACACTGGACAATCTTCTCAGGAGTCAAGCTGTGTTCTTTTTCCACAATGACATAGCTAGACAGGGTTTTCATCTACAGGGAAAATGGGATTGTAGATCCTTATTGGTCTTTATCAGAGAATTTCTCTCTCGTACATTTTTTGGGATTCCAGGACAGGTTGGAGGGCAGCAGGAGGGTCTCAGGCCATGGAATGATCAGGGTAGAGCCATGGTCTCCAGTTAACGATGATTAAAACCAGAATCATCAGTGGCTGCTGCTTGGTACTGTAAAGTCTTGCGAAACGTCTTAAAGAGATTCCCAAAGGTGCTGTTCAGTTGTGTCAGAAATTCCAACACTTTTGTAGCCGTTGTGACATTGATGCTGTGTGTGCAATTAGAAGTTGTTTCCTGTTGGTTTCCTGCTCTTTCTGAAGGTGTCAGAATGTCACAGAACCCTAGCCTGGCAGGTGAATGTTGTAGCAGTGCTCTGTCGACGTTACTTTGTGGCTAAGGCAATATTATCATGAATATTATTTCCACATCATGCTGCAACAAGTGGATTTTCTTTTTACCTGTATTTAAGCTGGTCTGTTTGCTGTATTTGTGCCAGCTGCTATCTGCTGCAATGAAAATGCTTTTCACTTATGTTGCCAAGCTGGAATGACCCGTGACAGAGTAAGAAGGAGACGATATAGGAGTCACAGTTTCACTTTCTGTGGACACAGGTCACTCAGGGATCCACGGTTTCCACGGCAACTTATTGGCACGGTTGCTGCTAGCCAGGTCTGCTCCCTGTTGCCGTGTACAGAAAAGGGCATTGCTGGGGTGAGGGGGGAGTTATGTCTTGGCTTGTGACCTTCAAGAGAAGGCTCTGTAACGAAAGCGTTCTTTCCGGACCCTATGCAGACGACACAATACGGGGATGAGTGAGGAAAACACGGGGGGAAAAGCCTGCGGGAGTCAAGAATGAAAACAGGGGGCGTGTCCACGGTGCGCTGGTGTTCGGGAGCTGAGTCCAAAAGGGGAATCCAAAACGGGGCAAAAGTCCCAAGCCAGGCGATCCATCCAAGACAGACAAGATTAAAACAAGAACTTGGTTGGGACCGGCACAAGAACGGGAACAGGAACTAAACCTTGACAGGACCAGGCGCTTCCAGGTACGGAACTAGCCTGGTACGGGAACTAATGCAGAGCCCGGAAGAGAGTGAGCATCTGGCTTTTATAGGACGAGGGGCAGAACCGGAGGCAGGTGCAGGGAATGAGTACTGAACAAGGAAGGGCTGGGGCGTCCTTAAGGGGAGGGGTTTATGATTGTGATAGGCTCCAGGTTCAAGCCTCTGCTCTGCATCTGGTAGGCCTGAGTCCATTAACGAACCCCCGGCAGCTCAGCTGATGTTTGAAATGGAGACGCAGCTTAACGGGGCTCGAGGGTTGATGTCATAGTTCAGCACCTAGTCACTGCTCCTCGCCTCTCCACCCCTACACCCTAACTCTCACTCCTGCCTGGGCTACTAATTTGTTTACTGGGCTAGTAATA